CTGGCCTGTCGCCGTGCTGGCAGAAGCCCTTCCTAGAAGCAGATTCTGAGATGGTCATTGCTATCCCCGCCACGAGAGGACAGAAAGATCCTTGTGTTCACTTAGGGGGAAAGCATGATGGAGCTCTTGCTGCCCCCGCCCCCACCAATCACACAGGCCGGCCTGCCGGATGGTGCGAGGGACTGACCTGGAGGAAGTCTTCCATCTGCCGAGCCAGCTCCTGGTCCCTCTGGATGTTTTCCTGAAGCGACTTTGTCCTGACAAAGAGCGATTGTAGCTCCGTCTCAGTGACATCCAGAGACAACCTGAAGACAGGAGGGGAGAGACCGCGCGGCGTGGGGCTGTGCCAAAAAAGACCCATCTTTGGCCAGGCCTAAGACAGGGGAGCGGCTGGGATCACATCTACCCAATCCTGGATTTAGGTCCTGAGTGAATCGCCACCCACAAGTGGGTGAATCAGCACACAAGACTTAAGGAGTGCAGGCTGCCAGCGAACCCAGCCCACGGGATGGAGGGAGCTTTCCAGACAGGTGGTCTCAGCACCACTGGGCAGCAAGCATGGAAACTAAACCCCAGTGAGACTCAGAGCAGCTGCTTTCCTTGTGGTGGGATGTTCTCACTCACAGGGAGCCAGATCCCACCTCGGAGAACTAAAACATGGCCAACCGTGGTGCAAACGAGCAGCTGGGCTGACTGCTGTGTGTTTGTTCTGGCTATTTTAATAAAATTTTAATAAGATCAACAAGACGGTTTTGTCACCAGGAAGGGGTACAGGTGAAACTCAAAGTCCAGGGGAATTTTGTACATTTGAATGCATTTGTGTTGCTATCATGAATTTTAGGGTTTTTGTTGTTGTTGTTGTGCAAAAAAGTTTTGTACTCCTGCCGGTCTTTGGTAGCACATGAGTCTTAACCCAAGGATCACTTCTACTTCACTTCTGCTTGTCATTCTCCCTCCACTGCAGATAAACAAACCTGCCTGGGAGAGGTTCCTCCACGACAATGATGTCAAAAATGCTAACTCAAAACATAACACTCATTTCCTTCATATATATGTAATATTTCTATTGTATTAATATAGTAAAAACAGCTGAATACTAATTTCTTTTAGGAATTAAAAAAAAGTTTGTATCTTATATCTGTTTTTTCTTAGAGCATCATCTGGGGATCAGTAAATACGAATTATGAAGCATTTAATCTTTGCACTGGTAATCCTCCTGTCTGGAAGACCTATTATCTGTGGCTGGATGTCAATAACAGTTAGATCCCATCTAATGACAGGACTATGAGCTGTTTGTTTCCTTATGTGTAGACGGTTCGTGCTGTTATGGCTGGCTATAGTCACTCAAATAATAAGGACATTACATAGTCAGCCACGGTGTCATTCGCCTGTAATTCCAGATACTCAATAAACTGAGGCAGGAGGATCATTTCAGTCCAAGGATTCCAGGCCAACCCGGGCAACATAGTAAGAGCTCATTTTTAAAAAGTATATAATATTATTTTGGTTGATACAAGCAGTGGCATTGTGGGCATCAGAGGCAACTGTGGGCATGTCTTCCCAACTCTGCATAAAGTACTTCTCTGCTGGTGACCAGAAACCAGCTAGGCTAGCAGTATTTAAGGCCTAGACGGCAGAAGATGTGAAAAACCAAAACTCTCTTTTTTGAGGAACGATTAACTGCAGTGTTTAATAACAGAAAGGAGTTGATAATACACACACACACACACACACACACACACACAGAGATCATTGTTGCACTGAAGCATGCATCTATCTTAGATTTAGAAGCAAATTAGAGTAATGTAATTAGGGTTTCATGCTTGGTAGATACTTTTTCTGTAAAGCTGAGTGACTGATTTAGAATCAAGTTTTTTCACGGGCCTTGGTGTGGTTCCAAACTCTTTGAATGTAATAGAAAATAAATGTACCATGTTCGAGCCCACAGGGAAATAGTGATGTATGGTCCTACAAGTTTGATCCAAACCAACTCCCAAGGTCATAAGTTGTGCCCGCTCAACCTCTTGGGCGTGGGAGGGATTTGAAGTTCAGATCCCCATTTTCCCTATACAGAATGGTGCTCTTCAGAATAGACTAAAATGGTTTCTTTTAGTCTAAAAATAACCATTACTATTTCAAAGGCCCCACATTTCAAAGGTGCACACACACTTGCAGCAAGCACACGAAGAGGAAGAACAAGAGAAAAGATCTCAACAAGAGAAAACATTGCAGAGTCCAGCCTGGAATCTGACAGCACGCCGCCATTTTCATGGGAAGGCGGGCGAGGAAGCCAAGCCGCCCTTTGTCCCTGTGCTCACCTCGACGTCTCCTGCACGTGCTGCAGCTTCTCGGAAAAGTGTAGAAGGATGGCATCTTGCTTCTGGGCTTCCTGGAACAAAGACAGACTTCACTCTTCCTGGGAGGGAAGCCTCATTCCCTTAGAGCTGCAGGGAGCCTTGGAAACAACTCTTAAGCTTTCAGCTTGCTACATTCAGGGCAGTTCCCCGAGACATGGACTTTGACATTCTTCCTAAGATTTACCAGAACTGCCCTCCACTGTTCAGATACCTTTAACCTTCCCAAGACAAACGATCCCCACATGAAATTCAACTCAAGTGCATTGAAACTCAATGGAATGAGGCAGCAGCTTAGCGCCCATTGTTCCCCAGAGAACCCAATATACCCTGCCTAAATGGCAGGCATCTTGGTGAACGTGCTCCTGTTGGAGGTATGGGATGCCTCTGACTGTTAAACCAGTTTGCAAACCAACTTTAATGAGAGGCATAGAAGCCCAGGAGGTATCTGGATTCTTCAGCTGTTTGGAGGCTGACTCGGGAGGGGTGAGTGGGAAGGAACCAGTTAGAGGATTCCTTCCTACAGGAGCAGGGCCCAAGGCACCTAGAGCCAAGGCCTACAGCTGTCAGAAGAGCTGACTGTGTTTCAGGCTGGGTAACTAAACAGTCTCTCACTTCAGTGCTTTGGATACTGACTTTTCAGTCAAGTACTGAAGACTAGAGGCTAGGCTGGGAAGACTGCTTGCCCAGCATGCTAAGACCCTGGCCTCCATCCCCAGACTCCAGAGAAATGAAGCGACGGGTAGCGTCAGATTCCAGATCTTACAGTAGCAGACAGCACTCTAAGGCACAGTTCCCGAGAGAGTGGTCACAAATCTGATTCATCTTTCATCAAGGTTTCCACACCTAGCCTTCTCCTCTCTACCCTGTAATGGTTATCCCTCCCAGCTTGCACTAGACAGCTACGGCCAGGATGTCTCCTCAGACCTTGTTCTTGTTTTTCTCCAACCTAGCCTTCGCCGTGTCTTATTTTCTTAAAACAAAAATCCTGGTCATGCTGTTACCGTGCACACACTTCTGCCTGCTTCCCGTGACCTCTGACATTTGAATCCTTTCCTACGTTCTGAAACCAGCCTCACTGCCTCCCTTGTCCAGTCCCCTCCAGTAGCTCGAACTGGGGAATCCACAAAGCTTCTTTGTATACGCCTTGTCCTTTTCCTAATGGAGAAACCCGGTCTTGCCTGGGAAAACCACACTGTCTCCACTGGGTGTTCATGGGCAGCCTCCCTCTCTCCACTCACCTGAGCGACAAAATGCAGAAGATTCATCCCAGGCTTGTTTGCTTTTGTGTCCGCCAATTTGAGTAAAGAAGACAGTTTAAATCCTACAGCATTGCCAGCATACCCTCCCTAAAGAAGACAAGGCAAGAGGAAGACATGTGTTGAACCTTCAGACAGACAACCAAGGGGCAGGCACACGTCTTGTTTTGAGTTCTACTTACGGCGTTCATGATATTCCCGGCCTGGAGCACCAGGTGTAGTATCGAATGTAGCTCCTCACATGACATCAGCTCTGTCGAAAGGAACACACCACTGCGCCTTAGAAAGCCGTCCCATGCATAGAAGGCAGCTACCACATGCAAGTTCAGGCATGCCTAAAGCAAACTCTGACCCCAAACCAAACACACTCTTTGCTGTAGTCATGCCTGTGACATAGACATATAGTATGACCTATGTCCTAGTGTGTAGCTGGGGGACCAAACATGTAGGGCAGTTGAACACCACAAAGTCATTCACTGACAATTTTCAAGTCCCAGGAAGCAGAGCAGCCCGAGGAAACACTGGGCCATGGAGACTGACCTCCTCCCTGTCAGCAGTTAATTCTTTAGTTTTTTTTTTTTCCTCCTTCTGCTCACTGCCATTTAAGAATGTCTTGATGAAACATGAAAACCAAGAGCCAGCAACATTTTGCTTAGCCAATGAGTTAGGAAAAGATAGAAAATAAACAAGCTGGGATGTCATGTAAATAACTTGCAAACCACTAACCCTCAAGCCCCTGGTACCCAAAACATCTTTCCATTTTATTCAAAACACATTTCATTCTGGATTGGCTGAAGGCTATAAAAGGGAACTTAGGGTAAGAGATTGGTAAACTAATTCTTTCTTTTAGTCTCTTCTTTTAGCATATGTGTGTGTGTGTGTGTGTGTATTTCTCTTTTTAAAAATTCATTTTACATACTAACCACAGTTCTCCCTCCCTTCCCTCCCTCCCTCTCTGCCCCATCCACTCCTCAGAGAGGGTAAGGGCTCCCATGGGGAGTCAACTAAGACTGGCCTATCTAGTTGAGGCAGGACCAAGCCTCCCCCACCTCCGCCCACAACAAGGCTGAGCAAGGTATCCTACTAGTAAACTAATTCTTTATTAACACAAAATCTGTTATGCATGTCTATAAAGGAGCCCAATTAAAAGTATACATTTGGGAAGCTAAACCAAACAGCGTAGTTTTTAAAATGACAGCGCAGGTAATAAAATGTCACCTATGATATTTGTAGGTCACTATTCTCCACTAAGTCTGGTATTACTTTCAAAACATTACATTTGGAGCAGTGCCTGTATTTTGTTATCTAAGAAGGCCAGTTTGGGAAGGTCATGCAGATAAGGAACGTTTCCTCCATGCCCACAAATTTATATTGCTCAATACGAAAACAAGTGCTCCCAACGCTGTTTGAACAGGAAGTTCAGTCCTTCCACGGTTGCTGCAGCAAACAGCCTCGGAATGGGAAGAACTGAAAGAGGCCTTTACGTTGGAAGAAGAAGAATTCCTTTTTTTATTCTTAGTGCTGCTCCAACATGAAGAAAATGTGGTGGACTGGAGGGAGGGCTTTCTCTTACCACAGGCAAGAGCTTCTGAGCAGGAGCACCAAACAGGAATAGACAGTTCCAGAAAAACCAGCAGAGAAGTAACTGGGAGGGAACCAAGCTGGAGAGCTGAGGATGGAAAGGTGGGTGGACCTGCCTGTGCCAGGGCGGTGAGTGCCAGCAGAAGTAGCCGCCAGCCTACCCTCTCAAGACACACAAAGCCAGAGACAAAGGCCCCAGCCCCTCGGAGGCTGGGCAGGAAAAGCTCAGCTGTTTTAAGACGTAAAAGGATCAGCTGACCCATCTCAGCTGTGACAGATCTTCACGTGCTGGAGTGTAGAAGGGTGGTAGGTAGGAGAAGCCACAGAACAGAAACCTTGGGCACTGTGGCAGGAAAAGGCACAATGCCACAGCCTAGAAAGGTCTGCCGGCTTTGGGAAGAGCAGTCCCAGTTGGCAGAGAAAGGAAGGTGTAGACGGTCCAGGACACAGGGACTGTGCTTACATGTATCACACATGTGCACATGTTACATTACATACTGTCCCACACTCACCAGCATCACACCCCTCATACTATGTACCAAACTCCCCACACAATATATAGTGCACACACCATACATACTAAATACCATAAATGCCATAGCACCACACATAATGCAAACATACTGTATATCATATGCACAACACACACTATACTCCACACCACGGACATCTCTCTCTCTCTCTCTCTCTCTCTCACACACACACACACACACACAGAGAGAGAGAGAGAGAAAGAGAGAGAGAGAGAGAGAGAGAACACGGAACACGGAAAGCTAACCACATTGAGAAGCAAGACAGGCTGCTACTTGTAAGGTTTGCTCTGCACCCTGAGATGAAAGAAACTTTCTTCCATGGAAAGATAATATGCAAATTGATGTTCATTACTTCAACCATATCCCTCCTTATACCTTTTTCCCTTTTCAGGTGATCCAAAGATGGGATCATCCATTTCCAATTTCATCTGAATTTTTTTTTATAAAAGATCAACAGCTCCCCAAACTGATGAAAGCAGCTACACATGGAAACACTGCCAGTTACCTTGTGTAGCGGTCCTTAGGACTGTTATGTCTTGGTACAGAGAGGAGCAAGAAGGCAAGAATTCCTTTTTTAGCACCATGGCTTCGATCCGAAGTGAATAGCTAAAAAGTGATAAGAAAATAACAAGATTAAGTAAAGCTGTAGCAGGCGTCAGTAATGACCCCGCTCCACAGAGACAGTGGCCAGAGATGCAGCCTTACTTTGGCACCTGAATCAAGCCATACAGAAAGGAATCTGCCAGAGAAAGCTTGGACACATCGCCGTTAAATGTCTTTAACTTCTTAACCTAAAAGACAAGAGAAAAGGGGAGAAGAGAAAAGAAAATAATTGATCAAAATTTAAGACTAAATTTCATTTTAGGATCATCCTAAAAAAATAATGTTTCAGTGCTAAATTCGTATTAATAAAATGTAGACCTAAGGAAAAAAGAATCCACACCTAGTATTATTTTTTCTTTGCTTGCTTGGTTGTCCATCTTCATATCTGGGGATGAGCCCAGAGCCCTGAGCACACCAGCCAAGCACTCCAGCACTGAGTCTCAGGTCTAGCTCTACGGCTGGAGGGGTAAACGATGTGGCCGGGACTCAAGCTGAGAGAGAACCGGATGAAGAGGTGGAGGGATTTTCTAAATTCTAAAGGCACACTAGCGACCTCCACACCAGGAGAATGGACATAACCTGCAAGAACAGACCTGGGGCTCAGGCTGCCTTCTCTGGGGAAAGGGCAGGTAAAATCCCCAGTCATATCCACATTTTCTGGCCTTGGCCTCCTGGCTTTCTATAAAGTCTAAGAGAGCCTTGGGCACCAGTGGGGAAACAAATTAGGTTTTTCCTTGCTGTGGAATAATCTTTTTGTATACTTTAAATATATATTGTTCTCACTGTTACTAAAGAACTGATTGGCCAATAGCTAGGCAGGATTTTGGGGGCAGAGAGAATGCTGGGAAGAAGATAGGCAGAGTAAAAGAATTTCGAGGAGGGGACTGGAGAAATAGGTCAGAGGTTAAGAGCACTGATTGCTCTGCCAGTGGTCCTAAGTTCAATTCCCAGCAAACACATGGTGGCTCACAACCATCTGTAATGAGATCTGGTATTGTCTCCTGGAAAGTGTATATATAATAAATAAACACATTTTTTTTTAAAAAAGAATTTTTAGGAGGCACAGAGAGGAGGAGATGAACTTGCAGTGCTGGAAAAATGTACCAAGCCATGTGGCAGAGCATAGATAAGAAATATGGACTAATTTAAAATGCAAGAGTTAGCTAGTAACAAGCCTGAGCTAGTGAACAAACATTTATAATTAATAATAAGTCTCTGTGTGGTTATTTGGGAACTGGCTGGTGGGACAGAAAAACCCTCTTATATTTTCTCTTTCAATGGCTAAACTAAGTAAACTCATTCTTTTCTTTACTAATTTCTTTCAGAATGAGACAGCAGGTTGTGAATCTAAGTGACAATAACCATAGTTTTTCCTTGTTCTTTTTGTATAGGGTTTTGCTCTTTAACCTGATCTCCAAGTCTTGCTCCTCTTGCCTCAGCCTTCTGAACTCTAGGATTACAGACATATGTTATATCACCTGGCTACTGTTTCCCCCTCCCACCCCCAACGTTGGGGTAGAAGCCAGGGTCTGGGTGTGAGAAGCATATGCTCCACCACTGAGCTACCTCAGCCTGGACTACGCTACTGAAGTGAGTACAGGTCGGCTCTCCAGCAGGAAACGTGGAAAAAGCTTCCGCTGAGCGATGGATATTAAGATATCTGATTGTGATGCAGCTAAGGTATAGAACTGACCTGGATGCTGATCAACAGGCAAGCAGATAAAGAAAATATGGAATTATAGTCAACGGTGTATCATTCAGGTATAGAAAAGAGTGAAAGCCTGTCTTGTATAACGAAACGGCTGGAACCACACGGCATTACGGTAAATGGACTATGCCAGCTGCTGACAGATAAGTACTGCAGATTCTCTGACCTAGGCAGAAGCTAAGAAATGTCTTGGCTGTAGAACAGTGATGAGCAAGGCTGTCCATGGGAAGGGAAAGCATGGGCAAAGGGACGCTGGATTTGATCAGCACACGCTGCTGTGCACATCACACAGACCCCATCAGTACACACAAGTAACACCCTTAGCCAAAAGAAAAATACCTAAAAATGATCTGTCCTACGGAAAGACAGGTAAATAGTCTATACAGTATGAAGATCCCATTTCCACAAATCAAGAAGAAAGATGTCTACGCCTCCCCTCACGGTTACCAGTCACTTTCCTTTTCACTTGCTCTTCATTCTAGCTATTTCGATTTATCTACACTGCGCAGACTGCTGCTATTAAAAAAAAAGAAAAAAAAAAAAAAAAAAAAAAAAACCAAGCTGGGTGAAGGCTTTTAAAGCTCTGACATGGGTAGATGGACAGACAGCTAGCAAGCAGAGGCGGAGGTGAGACCAAGCTCAAACTGCATCAGACAGAAATGTCCTACTTTCTCCACACGGAAAACTGGACCAAGCTAAGAGCAAAATCACTTCTAAGAGTCTTCCCCTTAGGCTGGTTAGAGACAGACACAGCCCACGCTTGCAACTGGTGACGGGCAGTACTGACCAGTTGTACATCTTCCTTCATGGAAAGGAATGTCTTTCCTGGGTATTCCACTCAGGGTCTTAAAATGCTAAATACAACATCTGCTGCGGAGCCGCACTCCTGACCATGGGAGCCTCCTCTCCCACCCTCCCCATCGCGTCTGGCAACATGAGTTCAAGCCCCCTGAAGCAGCGCCAGCTGGAGCCTGTCCTGGTGGTACCTAGCAACCCAGGAGGCCGAGGATGAGTTCCAGGCCAGACTAGGCTGCCTAGCAAGACCCTGCCTAGAAAACTCAGACAAAAAACCAAAAAGAACGATAAACAATGGAAAAAAATAATAGAAACTTATAATTAAAAAGTAAAGGTTTAATATTTTTTAAAAACTCTACTAGTTGACATATTTATATCAATTATGTGAAAATCTAAACTCTAACAGCACAGATTCACTCTTTAGAGTTAGGTGTCTCTCAAAGATGCTTCTCTGCTTCAGCTGCACTTCTGTAGTGCTGGGATGAACCCGGACCTCACGCATGCTAAGCAAATACTCTACTATGAGGAGAATGCGCAGCTACAACCAGATTGTTGGTTTTGTGTGTGTGTGTGTGTGTGTGTCTGTGTATTGGTTAGGGCAGAAAATAACCTTGTAAAAAACTACATTTGACCCACTTGCTGAGAGCCATAAAGTGAATTTACCTTTATTTTTTTTTTTTAAAAAAAAAAAAGCTTAGGACACTTCCGGTTTAGCTCAACTCCAATTAGTGCCTCGCTTGTGAGCTGAGACAGCCCTAGGCTGCATTCTGATTCCTCCTGGAGCCAAGTTGAACAGTTCACTATATATGGGCAGGGGCAGAGCGAAGCCGAGCCTTTTAAAAGACCCCATGCTCACTACGTGCAAAGCTTAGGAAAACAACGGCACGGATTTTAGTCGGAAGCAGAAGACAGGCTCATTCCCAGTAAACTAAGCACTTCCATTAGACATATGCTAACCAGTGGCTGAGCACGGATTAATCTCCTTTACTTACGCAGAAGGCCAAAAATGTTTATAGATCTTAAGGGACTGGAGATGGAAGACAGAAATGTAAAGGCCATGTATATAGTTCTTTGTTCTAGTTCCCAGCAAGCTTTGTATTCACTATGAGGGATTGCCGTGCCTCCCCAGTGGCAGGGAAAGGAAGAGGCGAGGTGAGCAAACTCTAATTATTATGTAGTCTCATCGTCATTATCAGAAATCACGCCTCCAACACTGCTAGGCATAATTTTGCTGGCTGAGCCAAGGGCCTCTCATTATGACCCCTGCTGTGCCCGGTTTCTGTCGGAAGAGCCAGAACATACTCCGGGGATTCACAAGGCCAAAGAAAGGGTGGCCTCCTCGTCCTGTCCCATTCCACTCCACAGCCTAGGAAAGGCAGGACTCCCACAAACATGCCGCCTCTAGAGGAGCCAGGGGCCGAGGAATGAAGAAGCTAAGGAGAGGGCACACTAGGGCCACTCCAGCCTTCAGAAAGTGCTGGGATCTTCCTTCAGCACGGTGTGGCACCAGGACTGACCACCAGAGAATCAGCCCACAGCAGGAGCCGGGCCAGCCAGGCTGGGAGGCAGCTCTGGCCCCTCCTCATCCTCACCCCTGGCATGGGAGCCACTGGCAGACAAAAGCACACCCAGAACTTTTATTCGGGGGCCCGCCTCTTCCTCTGCAAGGGTAAAACCACACACTGGAAGAGAGACGAACGCCAGATCAAAGATAAAATGAAGGGCAGAGAAAATTCCTGATGACAAATTAACCTTGGCTACGGTTGGCCTGTCAGCTGAGAAGGCAGGGACGGGGGAGAAAACAGCAGTTTCCGCTCATGGTTTTCAGCGTGCTGATAAGGTTATGGAATGACTCGGGAGGACACCCGCTCACACCGGTGGCGGTGATAGCAGAGGTGCTGAAAAGCCTGTCAGACCACGTGGTGTGAGGCACACCGTTTTAACAACCTTTGCCCTTCCTTCCTTCAAGAAAGGTAATAGACGGTAACAACTGCTCAGTGCCAAAGAAAATTAGGGTTCAAGTCCACCTCTCTTGTATCACCCAGGCATCCCGAGACACTGTGTAACCCGCGAGAGCCAATGCAATTTGCAAATGAGGACTATCTCGTACTGTTCCTGTAAAGAGGAAATAAGGAAAGGCTACAGAATAATCATCTCTGTGATGGATGAGCTTTCTCTTTGTTCATTCCTGGACTGAGCCCTGTAAAAGTAAACGTTAAGTTCTTTCCTGTGCTAAAAATGACTACTGCATTATATCCTGGGCTAGCGGTCGCTATGTACGCACAAACATTGATTAGTGCATTTCTGCCAACAAAACCTCTCTCACTAGCCCAGCTTCCTCCCTGACCTCGTCCTCCCCAGAGACCAAGACGCTCCAGGGTCCTCACGAGTCTAGGCAATACCACAGACCACAGAACATTCTCGATGCAGCGTCCGCTTCCTCTGCAGCCCCTTTGGCCCGCAGACGCCCGGCAGTTCCAGGAGAGATGACCTGGCAGGGTGTTTCTGCTGAAGTCGAGTGTGCAGGGTGTGGCGACGCAGCCAAGACGCAGTAATGTAAACGAGAAATGTGTCGGGATTGTCGCCACACAGTTAGACTGAGGATGACCCTGCACAGGAGGCTGTGTGCTCTGGCCTGTGTCAGAGGTCCAAAGACGCCTCAGGAGTCTACTCCAGACTTCTTGGCAATTAGCTCACTAACTGGGGCAGAGGACCTGGGTGACCTGGATGTCTCTCAGATGCTTTTCGCTCGCTTGGCCCTGGACAATCCTGGTCCAGTGACACCTCACAAAACCCAACAACAAAAAGACCCTT